TTTTTCAGATGATTGGCAACACCTTAGTTATTTTGTACAGTTAGAAACATTTCCACCTTTACTGTCATCTATTTTGTAGGCCTATTCTGGGAGCCCTCAGTCTATTGACTTATCGACAGTACACCAAGCCTCTTTGTGGTCTTACAAGGATGCAGGTTCACAGAAAGTTGAACAGAGTAACTTTTTACATTTAGTTTTACATTAACTCATCCCATATATATGTAATTTGTTTTTACTTTTTCATAAAATAAAAAAGTAAAAAGTTTAAAGTATATATATCTATTTGTGAAGCTCCTCTAACTTAAGATTTGTACATATGGCCACATGGAAATTGTCTTTAAAAGAACTGTAAATAAATATTAAACTCTAATGTGAGCTGAAGTATTTGTGTGATTAAGTACAGTATCACTTTTAAAAATAAAGATAATTTGATCAAAGAATGGAGGGACTAAAGTGAAACAGCAAATATAAGAGTGTGCTTGCTGAACACTCCTTTTCCTCCATATATTGTATTTGAAAGCTTTCATCATAGTAGGTTTTTTGGGTTTTTGGGTTTGTTTTTTTTTTTTTTTTTTTTTTGTATTTTAGGGCAGGGTCTACAGGGTGTTCAGGGTCACACTACTAGATCAGAATCGTGGTGATCCAGCTGTTTACAGCCTCCCAAGAGCTGGGATTACAGGTGTGAGCCACCACGCCCAGACCCAGTCTCAATTGCTGTCCCAGCAGGCGCCCGGGGCGGGGCCGGCATGGCAGGCCTGGAATCGTATCCCAATACCCTGCTTGCGGGCACTTTAATCGCCTGAGCTATTTTGCCAGCCATCATTATAGTAGTGTTTAAGCCACCATTACAAGAATGCCACCAGAGGATCTGAAAGGCTGACAGCTCCCACCCACGTCCTGTTCCCACGCGGCCAGCCAAGCCCCAGGCAACCCGGCCGCCTGGAAGCCTTGGCTCTACGGCGCTCTCCTTCCTCCCCTGGCCGCCCCGGCTCGCCCGGCCTCAGTCTTGTTACAACACACTCCATCACCTGGTTCCCAGAACTCAGATTGCGCAGTGGTCTAGTCATCATTGGCCAGGGCTCGCCGCCGCAGCGGCAGGGGCCTCCCCAACCCCTCCTAGCCTAGCCTCACCCGCTGTCCCTCACCCCTAATCCTCCCGCACCAGGTCCCCTCGCTCCACTCCGCCTGACACTTTTCATAATCCTCTCAGGCTCCAGGCAAGCAGCACCGCCCCCAATAGAGCCTGATCATATAAGGAAAATACTCCGGCTCACTGGGAGCCTTACTGGGGAACCTGGAAAATTCTGGCCCACTACACTCGCTCCTTCCCGCTTTCCTACCGTCCAAACCCCAAAGCCACCCAAAAGCCCACCGGATCGCGGGCTGAACCCG